ATACCACTGTAAAATCTGGTAAAATTGTCCATTATAAAATTTTTATACCACTATGTTTCTCTCAAAATGACGCTTTACATGTAAGTCTTATAAGTCTGATGAGTAGCTCTCCATTATTAAGGAGAGAAAAATGGCTCATACACTGCTGGAAGAATTCCTGAGGGTTAAGATTGAAAACTCAGGCTGTTTAGATTCCTGTCTCCATAAACAGGAAATGCTGCTGAAAAACTCTGGGCAAAAAGTCATCTTAAAGGCATTGGGACTTGGCATCTCTTGCAGGGTATTTTTTGTAAGGAGGGAAAAAAGAAAAATACTGAAAGCCTGAGACAGAGACCACTTTTTAGTAGAAAACCTAAGTAGAGTGAAAGGAATAAAGAAACCACTTTATGCATGTTTCTTTATACTATTCCTTAAGTCAAATCAAGAGGAAAATTATCTCCTCTTCCTTTCCTTCTTCCTATGCTACCTCTCTGAAGGCACTTTAATAAATGAGCACTGAGAGGCAGACAGGAGTTGCCCTCAGGGATAATGAATCAGAGCAGGAGGGGTAGAAAAGAGACTTGTTATTCTTGAACTTGTCATATTTTACCGTGCAGTTAGAGAGGCCTAGATGGAGATCTCACTCCTGGAAATGACAACTGGACTTTGTTGCTTTTGCGTGGAACACCTTAGAGAGGAGACAGACATCTACCGTGTATAGACAACCCTGTGTTAGCACTGTAATTCTTAAGCACCTGGAAATCTTTGACATGCAAACAAAATTGCTATGACTTTGTAGATTTGGATTGCTATGGTGTCTGAGAATTAATTGCATTTGGAGTCAACCTTGATTTCTTTGTTCAAAGTCAGTTCTCTGCTCTTTCTAGTTGCTTACTTCTTTGTTTCTGGCCAACAGTCAGATAAACTGTCTTCAGATCCCTTCATATTGTCTTTGGAGTTCTGCCTTAGGAAAGCATTAAGAACTTGAGCAGCTTGTTCATCAACCTCTGTGGGCAATTCTTCACTGAAAGATACTTGGGGACATTGGGTGTGCGGAACTGGGTATGGTTTTTCTTGAATTAATGACCGGATTGTCAGCCAGGAGAGCTGGAGAGCTGGGCTCACCCTGGTGACTTCAAAGCCAAGTCTCAGACATCTTTTGTGACATTTTCCTTAATTAATTCAGTTAATATCTATGGACTCCAATTATGTGTCAGACAATGCTCTTGGCACTTGGAATACATCCCAAGTTCATGGAGCTTAAACTTTAGTGGGTAGATAAAGAATAAATAAAATATATGGTATGTAAGATAGCTAAGGAAAAAAAAAATAAAGTAAAGCAGGAGAATATAAAAGGTTAGTGTCAGAGGAGAGGAAGTTGTGAATAGGCATCCAGGAAAGGCATCACTGAGAAAGTGATTATTGAGTAAAGACCTGAAGGAGTTGTATATTGTTACTGGCCTTTTAAAGCAAGCAATTTATCACTGAAATGGGGTAGATGAAGTAAAGAGTATTATGTGGATAGCTGATAAATGAGATAACATGTGTAAAATGTTTTATCAACTCTGAAGTGACTCCATGATATAATTTCTTCTCTTAGGCCTAGTGTTCAATGAAATTTCTATTCTCAATTTTCAAGTCACAATAAACCTGTTTTCCTGAACACAGAGCTAGTTGTCCCATTCATTAATGTCTAGGACAGTGATTCTCAAAATGCGGCCCCCATACCAGCAACTTGGGAACTTATTAAAATTATAAACTCTAGGACCCCACATAGAACAACTGAATCATAAACTCTGGAGATACAGTTCAGCAACCTGTGTTTTAACAAGCCCTCCCAGAAGAGTGTGATATATAGTAAGTTTGAAAATCCCTGGTCTAGGATTACGTCAGTCTTTTAAATATATCCTTGGTTAGACTTTAGCAACTTTGAAAGGGGTTATCACACCTTCTGACCATGATCAAGCAAAGTAACCAACTTCTTATCGTATTTTAATGTGAGGTATTCTGGATGTCTTTAAAAGGTGTGCAATAGCAAAGAGTTTTTCAGGTATTGGCAGTGTTTTAGAATATGCATATTACTTCTACTTGTTTCTGTGTTCTATCTTTTCTTTTTTTCCCCATTTGAGACTGATATCACATTTTTAAAAACAGCAATTACGTTAAAACTTTCCAGTTTTTTTTTTAATGTCACTTTGAAAATGTTGAATTACAGTGTATAATGTTAGAATTGATATTGATATAGAGGCTTCATGACAATTTATATGGAAACTTCAAAACAATGAGTTTGCATCTGGTGAAGGAG